AGACCCATTACTCGAGTACCGAAGTCGAGATAGAAGAAATGAGCCGAGTACCATACACTTCCGCAGTTGGCTCGATTATGTATGCTATGACTTGTACTCGCCCTGATGTGGCCTTTGCTTTGAGCATGGTCAGTAGATATCAAGGGAACCTAGGCAGAGCACATTGGACCGCAGTCAAGAACATTCTTAAGTACCTTCGGAGGACCAAGGAATGGTTTCTAGTCCTCGGTGGGAGTTATGACTTAAAGGTGCGAGGATATAGTGATGCCAGCTTTCAGACCGACAGGGACAATTTCCGTTCGCAGTCGGGATAGGTCTTTACCCTTAATGGAGGAGCAGTGACTTGGAAAAGTTCCAAGCAAGAAACCGTAGATGATTCAACGTGCGAATCAGAGTACATTGCAGCGAGCGAAGCGTCAAAGGAGGCGATATGGTTGAAGAACTTCATTGGAGACCTTGGAGTTGTACCTGCCATAAAGGAGCCTATGGAAATTTTCTGTGATAATGAAGGAGCGGTTGCCTTGACCAAAGAACCGAGGGATCATGGTAGATCTCGTCATATTGACAGAAAATATCACTTTATTCGACATCGGGTAGAAGAAGGACACCTCGTAGTAAAGAGGGTATCATCAGAGGATAAGTGGATAACCCAACAGATCTGCTTACAAAGGGACTTAGTAGGGTTAAGCACTTGCAGCATGCTAGGAGCATTAGGCTGACGGACGATATTAGTTTAGATTAGATAGTTTAGAAACATATAATAGATAAATGTAATTGACATTTGATGATTAAATAAAGGAGTATTATTTATAAGTGAAGTTACTGTCTTATGTTAATTGTTTAACTATTGTTTAACTTTGCATGTTTTGACTTCCTGAATAATTGAGTTATTGAGAATAATTAAATTGTTCGAATGGTCCACAATCGTTCATATGTTGGAAGTAAGTATGAATGAAGATTGTCATGAATTGGTGTGTAGATTGTCTAAAAGGTATTAGACATATCAAACGTTTGTTGCAACGTTCATGGGTGGTTATGAACAAGTTTTGAGCATTGGAATAAACCCGCGCTTGCTGGAATCACTTCATGGAATTTATCACGAGTGATCGCAAGACGATAATATCATATGGTCTTAAAACCTAGATATATGGTTTATTGTTTACTGATTGGTGGTGCATTGATAATGTGAAAACGCATCAGTAACTTGATGTTATAAAACGCATTATTGTGTATGATTTGATTAGTGAATTGTAAATGCATATAAGTTGAAGTTTATCTGCTCCTTTTATCTTAAGAGGGTAAAAGCAATATCAGAGCCCCTCGATGATTTGATTTGACTTATGTGCAGGGCCCGGTCAGGACTAAATTGATGTGTTCAATTAAGTTCTACGTCAAATGAATCTGAGATCGAGAAACCAATTGCTAGACAATAAGTATGACAATTTTCCATGTAATTGTCTGCACGATATCTAGAATAGAGGATTGTACGATCCCTTATCTAAAGGACAGGATACTGATAAAATCAGAGTTTGATAGCGTCTTTGAGAGCTACGATTGCTAATTGGATTGTGTTTGCATTTATAGTTACTAGACTTATCCAAGTGAGAGACTGTTGGATTAGTGTCTAAGCCTGTAACTATATTTGGTAAGTACTTAACCCGGTTGTGCATGGTCATTTTGGGTTGCCTTCACCATAACAACTTGACAAGGTGATTTATAAAGAGAGAAGAGATACTATTATATTAATATGTTATGAGAATAATATATTAAAGGAATAATATATTATTTGATTGATGTAAGTCATAAATTAATTAAGAAATAATTTGGTGACATAAAGAGGTTAATTGAATAAAGGGGGCATAAACTGTCAAATGTGTGATAGTTGTGTTTTTGGGCTATGAATCCTTATGGATATTAGGGTGGATGAATTTTAGGGTTGGATATCTTAAATTCATCCAAGCCTCATATCTAGAAGGATCTTTGGATTGCTTAGGGCCTAAGTTATTCAATTAGGGTTAAGGGTGTAACCCTAGTAGCTCATAGTATAAATAGACCCCATGGGTGAGGGAAATCGGCCACTCTTGCAAGATAGAAACCCTAGAGCCGATTTCCTCACTTCTCCTCTCTCTCTAAATCATCCTCTTGCTAGTTGGTGTTTGTAAGCCATTAGAGGAGTGACAAATGTGACTCTAAGCTCCAAGAACAAGAAGATTCAAGCAAGCAACTTAAGGTATTCTTGTACATTTGATTTCATAAGTTATGATTCAATTGTTTACACTAGATCTAGAATTGTAAGCCTTGGATACATTGCATGTTCAATTAGAGAAACCTAGATCCAAGCATTAGGGTTTGCATGTGCACATAGGAAAGTTCTTATAGCTCAAACCCATCAGGATCGGGCAAAGGTCATGACATGGCTCCTGATACAAAACCACTGCGCGGATAGCCACTAGGGTCAGACAAAGGTGATGACCTGGCTCTTGGTACATAAACTTCTGTAAGAGGGATACATGGAAGGCCACTAGATTCTGGCAACGTGGATGGCCTACCATCCGATGGAGGACCGACCAGAAAAAGGTTACGTGCTAGGCCTTTATCAGACATGCTGCGTTTATAGAACAAAAATAGTCAGATATATTAGACGATAATGAAAAATAACAAATAGACTAGCATATACATACCATATTTTAAATCAAAAATAAAATGTGACAACAAAAATATTAAAGTGTATATACCATATAACATAAAACAAAGTTCCTAACATTTGTCCTCATCTGGATCAGAGTAGTTTATTTCTATCCTCTTTATCTGGATCAGAGTATTCAAGATATAGGTTATCTGTAGGTAATCCACAGGTATTTACATACAGATTACCTACGTTTTATTATTTTAATTTTTTCAAGGGTCAAATGTTGTTTTTTTTCGTTTCATTTTTTTCACAACATCATTATACATTGATTGCTTTGTTTTCACAAAGTTAAACATCATATAAACGTATGTACAAGAATGTGCATCATTAGAACTGATTACTATATATGATACAAAAAGCTAATTATGTTAGTTCTTGGGCCACAATTAACCTCATTAAACAAATACGTGATATATTGAACATAATACATACATTTGGTTTGTATGTAAATGCGTGTGTTTATTTTTATTTGTGTATAGAATATAACTTTCATTTATATTATATAAAAAAAAAACTAATAAAATTGTAAATGAGTAATGGGTTCTAGTGATACATACTTTTGTATGTAAGTTTATGTTATGTATAAGTTGGTGAAAGCAAAGCATTTAAAGTATAATGATGTTGTGAAAAAAAATGAAACTGAAAAAACAATATTTGCCCTTAAAAATTAGAAAAAAAAATGTAGGTAATCCATAGGTAAATATCTACGGATTATTTACCTACAGATTACCTACGGTTTTTTTTTTTTTTCTATTTTTCAAGGGCCAAATGTCGTTTTTTTTCATTTCATTTTTTTTCACAACATCATTATACTTTGATTACTTGTTTTCACAATGTTATACATCATATAAATGTACATAAAACCATTTATACGCATAGATACACATACACACTTACATATACATAGACATACATACTCAAATACATACACATACATATATACACACACGTACGTATACACACTACAAATTAAATGACATTTAGTGTCACAATGTTTTAGTGAAATATTTTTTTGTGCCACTTTATTGTGTTTTAGTGGCACATTCTAAATGACCCTATAAAAATTGATGGTTTAAGGGAACTTAACATTTTTTTATGTCCCTAAAGCTATTAAACCACTTTTATATATTATTTATGTTTCATAATTTCCCACAGTAATTTGTCATTTAGACGTTCGTTTTTGTTATTTCCTCCTTACAATTTATTGAACTTGTAAATTAGCGCAACATAGGGAGAATGCTCCCAGAAATCGCTATGCTCTGAACTCAATAGCTTAACTCCATCGGTGCTCTAAAACCCATCGTCGCTCCATCAAGACATCTACATCGCTGTTGTCGGTTGTTCCTAGTCATCATCGCCCACCACCGCCTCCATATTTGCTTCCTAGGTTCGCCTGATCCGTGTTTTTCAATTAATCAGGTAATCCTGCACACCTCTTCTTCCTTCTTTGTTGCATTTTCCTCAAATTTCTCCTTTTATTTTTATTAATCCATTCAATGGAAATAGTTTTTAACATTTATTAGGGCAATGTTGTGCCTACGTTCCTATAACCCCGAGATCTAACTTTTTGTGTAACAATAGTTTGGTTGATCATACATGGAAGTGGCGTTGCTTGCAGGATTACCAAATCAAAGAAATTAATGAGAATGATTCCATGGTAAGTTTCACTACATAACATTAGTGGTTTAGTGCTCTATTATGGTGATTGATTTCTTCTATTTTTACTTCTCACCATTATCTTGCAATAACCATAATGGAGATGATGAGGTGTACAGATCAAAACGAGGGCAGTATGAGGGTCTGATCATGAATTGTTTGCACTGATTAGAAAGGGATGTCTTAGAAAATGCCTCTTGAGTCAGATTTGACGATATTGCAGGTTTGAGCGAAACAAAATGACTTGTAAATGAAGGACTAGTTCTACATTATTTGATGCCTGATTACTTTACGGTATGTTGTTGGATGAAGCTCCGGTATTTGGTTTTTATTCTTTTTGCCCATCTAACATGTATTCTGTAATTTTAAAAACCTCTTTTCACCTATTTGTCTTTAAATTAATCAACCAAACCCATATCTTATTTTCCATTCCTATCTCTATCTCTATCTGTTTCTTTCTTTTTTAAGGTTATGTGCTTTTTCCTATGATTTTAATTGAATTATAGTTATCCAACTTTTATTATTGTAGGAGGTAATTAGCTAAGAAGAAAACTTTCCAAGTTTACAACCAACATCCTCCTAACAGCAAATTATCCCATGTGTGATTTTGGTTTCGCATTTTTTCTTCTGGAAGCCATTTAGATTTCTCTTGAAAATGATGGGGACTATGTCTCTTGGTTCTTCCATCGTCATTTCGAAGAAAGGGGCTGTCACTTTGTTGAGTAATGACAAGAATTATTACCCCTCATTCTTGTCAAAGAAAAACACCAACTGTTTGATGAATTGCCAAAGTGAAGGAAACGTCATTAAAACCAATGGGGTGTCAGTATCTGTTTCATCATCTTTCACAAAAAGATCCATTTTGGTGAATGTTGGTCCTGGAACAGCTCTCTTGGATGCCGAAAGATCCGTTTTGCCTCCAAATGGTAACGTTTACAATGGTGCACAAAATTGCATTGGGATTGTGAATATACTCAAGGGGAAAGCCTTCTTTGTTATTGGAGCAATTGGTTTCTTGGGAAAAGGTATTTATACTTTTTCACTTTTTTTTTCTATCTTATTCTTCACCTTTTTCTAATTCTTTAATTTCTTTTATTTTTTATTATATAAAAATCTCTTAGAAGATACTACGCATATTGTCTGATGTGGGAAACATATATCTCTTAATCAAGGCAAAAGACATAGATTCTGCCATGGAAAGAATAAATAATGAAGTATGCAACTTTTTTTCTTTCTCTTCTTTTGGGAATCCTCATATGATCTATTCTTTTTATCATTAAGTAGCATATTTAAATTTAACTTAGGATTGCATTACAGATACTAAATACCGAAATTTTCAATTCTCTTCAACAAGCTTATGGAAAATCGTATCAATCTTTCATGTTAAGTAAGTTGATTCCTGTGATTGCAACTTTTGTCTCATATATTGTCATGCATGACAAACATGGCTTAAAGAGAATATTGGGTACTTTAACCCATTCATTTTTATTAAAAAATAAATTTGAAACAAATATTCTTATTACGATTTACCATCTCTTAACCCTGCAAGGGCATACACGTCATTTTTTTGTATTCTTTTGTTTTATGGTGGGAAGCTTTGAAGTCATATGCCTTGGTATCTGAAGTCGTTAACATGTCTAAAATTACTAGATTACTTAGGGAAGTAGGAGAATGTTGAGCTAAATTTGTTACATGGGTGCAAATGTTTATAGGTCAAACTTATGAACAATGTGAGAGATTTACATAATTACGTGGTAAGATTTATAAATTTTAAATTATCATATTTCATATTTTTCATTTCGGTATTTTAAATTATACTTTGCAACTGCAGCACCAAAGAAATTATTTAAGGAGTTCATGGCAAAATATTGATTGTTTGGGGCCATCCACCTTGGTATGTACCTCTTTGTATCACTTCTTCCTTCATCTTCAATTTCATTTTAGCTAGAAGGGTAAATTGGTCTTTTTTCTCAGAAATAGTCTTTATTCATGCAACACTAATCGTTTATCTATCAACACTTAATAAGATAAAATAATGCACTACGTACTGCCTGGATAAAAAGTGATGTGTAGAACATATTTGAAAACATGATAACATACTTTCATTTATTTGTTTATTATAGATTTGTAATTTCATTTTTTCCTACTTGAGACATTGTATTTTTGAAAAATCTACCAAATTATAAACTTAGGGTGCACACAGCCAAGACAAGTTGTTGCCATGAATGTTGCTACTAAAGTTTCTCAAGAAATGAATGTCAGACTTGGGCATGAAGTATGTGGCCATGTGTTTTGTTTTAACATTATGTTGTGAATATTTCAAATTCATAATTTGAAAATCTTTTTTCGGATTTTGTCAACAAATACATCTTCCTATGTGATTTACTGTGTTATGAAACCATTTTGGTTTATCATTTCAGGTTTGCCTATTCTATGTGCCCTGAATATTGTACTTCTGAAAACTGTTCTTAAGTATATGAATGAACTTTCTAAACTTTGAAATTTTTTTTTCTTTTTTGCTTTTTTTTAATGAAGTTGTTAGTATCGGGGAATATTTATTATTTTATACGTGCTGCAATTTAATTATTTATTTTATTTTATAATTTAGATAAAATTATGTAGATATTAGTAGCTTAAATTATAGAATATCATGAGTATTTTCTGATGTAAAATGTGTCTTTTTTTTTATGTTGTGGCAAATAAAAAAGTACCACTAGAATTTTAAAGTATATAACTAAAAATAACATAACTTTTTGAAACAAATGAGCATTTTATGACACAAAATATGTGCCACAAAAAATTTCTCTTCTATAGTGACAAATAAAAAGTGCCACTAAAAGTCTAAAAAACTGCATCGACAAAAAAATAAAAAGTGTCACTAAAAGGTTTTAGTGGGAGCACACTTATTTTGTGTGCCCCCGATTCTTTAAGATATCTTTAGTGGAATTTGTTTGGGTTTTTAGTGATAATTTTTATGTGCCACTAAATGACATATATGTACATATACTCACATACATAAATAAATACATACACTTACTTATATAAATATACATATTTCCCTTAATTATCATCATTTTTCATTATTCATACATTAAGTGTATATTATTTCACCTTATTGATGTGTTAAACGTTGTGTTTTTTTTTTTTTCGTTTTTCATTTGTTTGTGTGTTATACACATTGGTTACGATTATTATATATCATAATTATGTTTATAAATATTATTATTAATAGTACTATTAGTATGAGTTTTAATTGTTTGTATTTTAAATATTCAAAACAAAAAAATTCAAAAAAAAAAAAAAAAAAAGACTTAGAATATTGAAAAACAATAATAATAATAATAATAATAATAATAATAATAATAATAAAATTATAAAGTTGTTGGTATTTTGTAGTTATTTTGTATCTATTTTCTTCTGTGGGTAGTCCATAGCTATTCTGTAGCTAATTACCTACGGAATACATGTGGGCTTACTTCCGTCGCTATTCCATAGCTATTCTGTAGCTAATTACTAACGGAATAGCTACAGATGTCCGTAACTATTCTGTTACTAATTTAGGGCATCCCATTCCGTAGGAATTTTATTGGTATTATGTAGCTAATTACGTACGAAAATTTTCCCTAGTTATTTTCTTATAGCAAAACCCTTCTTTTCTAGTAATGTTTTGAAATCTTTATTTTAATATTCCATAACTTTTATGAAATTATTGGATTCCTCATATTCCCTCATCAATCTTCATAATTAGTGAGCATTATAAGAAATATTATTATATGCTTTATGAATGTAATTATACCCTACTATAATGAACATCCATAACATACCTCATATTTCATCTTCTTTGTCTTGTATAACTAATGAATATTATGCATTGTAAAGTTTTATTGTTTTTACCACAAGTGATCAAATAAAGTTCTTTATAATCTCATTTCCTATATTGTTTTTAGTTTAGATTCATATTTTGTAATATGTTATCAGTATGACTCTACCGTAGAGTTTTAACTCTATCACTCTTGTCATTTTCAGGTATGTATTTACTTTTTACTTTTTTTATAAGTTCACATGTACAATTTTTACAAGTTATTTTATGAAGATTTTTACCTAAAATTATATGGTGAAACTATAACTAATAAAGACATACCAGAGAAAACCTTCTCTACCTTTCATACTACTAACATGCTCCTGCATCAACAATATCCTGAGAAAGATTTTTAAAAATATTTTGCATTATCTCATGTCTTCTAGTGGCTAAACAGAACGATTAGCTATTGATGAAAAATCACCAATCAAGTCTGACCGGTTATAGTTTACTGCCTGAAGTGAATGCAACATCATATAATCATGATAGTAATGGGTCTAATTGAGGTCATGGATGTCATCATAATTATCGTAAAAATAATAACAAGATTACAAGTAACCATTAGAAGTTGAAAAATAACAAAACCCCACATCCTAATGATAAAAGTGGTGAAGGCAAAAAGAAAGTTGAAAATATTTGTCACCGATGTGGAATAACTGGTCATTGCTCTTATACATGTTGCTCTCCATAACATTTTATTGATCTTTATCAAGCTTCACTAAATCTAAAAGAAAAAAAATATCGAATAAAATTTTATTGAAAATGATTTACAAGATCAACTAGAAGTAACACATTTGGATGTTGTCGATTTTCTTATCTACCTAGAACGGACAAGTGGTGCTATGGATGGTGATGGAAAAATAATATCTAGGTTTGTTTCATGAGAAATTATTTCATCACAATCTTATCAAAGTAGTAAAATATGGCTTTATTTTAATTTATTTATTGAAGAGAAATATGTATATTTATAAAAGAAACGAGGAAGGTATATGTCTTGCAGACAGTGCAACAACACATAACATTTTTAATAATGAACAATATTTTTCTTACTTATCAATTGGATAAGAAAAATGTTAATATAATAATGGGTAGTGTAAAAAATGATTGAAGCCTCCGGAAGAGCGAATATAGTATTACCATAAGAGATAGTAATTGCAATTGGTGATTCATTATTTTCTTCCAAATTTCTATGAAATTTATTAAGTTTTAAGGATACTCGATCTAATGTATACCATGTTGAAACAACTAACGATTGTAATAAAGAGTATCTTAATATTACAAAAATGATATCGAGTAAGAAAAGTCTTTTGGAAAAACTACTCGTATTGTCTTCCAGGTTGTATTATACCAATATTAGAATGATTGAATCTCATGCTAATAAAAATAAAAGGTGTAATAACACCTTCAAAGTTTTGTATGACTGATTGGGCCATCCCGGATCATTTATGATGCGTAGAATAATTGAAACTTCAACTGATCATTTCTTGAAAAAAACAGAAAAATTTTCAAGCTAATGAATTGTCTTGTGCTGCATGCTCTCAAGAGAAATTAATTTCTTGTCCATCATTGAATAAAGTTGGGTATGAAAGTCCTAGTTTCTTTGAAAGAATTGAAGGGGATATATGTGGACCAATTTATCCACTATGTGCACCATTTAGATATTTTATGGTTTTAAATCGATGCGTCAACTAGATGGTCACACATGTGCTTGTTATCTAGTCGAAATCTCACTTTTGCAAAATTACTTGCACAAATAATCCGCCTAAGGGAACATTTTATCGATTACCGAATTAATAATATTCCACTTGACAATGCTAGAGAATTTACCTCATAGAATTTTAATGAATATTGCATGTCGATTGGGATAACTATTGAACATTATGTTGCATATGTTCATATACAAAATGGTCTAGCCGAGTCGTTTATCAAACACCTTCAATTAATTGCAAGACCATTACCAATGAATTATAACCTTCTTATATCGACATGGGGACATGTAATTTTAACATCACTTATACGCTTCATACAAATAAGCTATCATAAGTTCTCCCATATTCAACTGGTTTGAGGTCAGAAACCAAATATTTCCCATGTAATGATTTAGATATTCAATTTATGTACCCATTTCATAACCACATAGGATAAATTGGGTCCTTAAAGAAGAATGAGAATTTATATTTGATATGAATCTCCATCTATAATAAAAGATTTAAAACCATCAAATAGATATTTATTTACAACTAGATGTAATGATTGTCATTTTGATGATATAAATTTTCCAACAC